CTTGGGTAGTTAACTCAAGTTGAAGTTTTTCAATATCTTACATATGAACATTACTTTGCTTACTTAAATGATAAGCAGTTGTGGTGGGCAAAATCTGTCCAACCTGCTTCATAGCTGGATCCTTAGCTTGTTTTGGTCCAAAGAGCAACTAGTCTGACTCATTTCCATTCTGGAGTGTGAAAAACAGAATTTCCCCTCCCATTTCTTAGTGCTTCTTTGCTTAGAACTGTCGCTTGCTTGTTTTTACCAGAGCAGGACAAAATTTGCAGGAGAAGATAGGCTATTAAGAGGGTGTGTAGTACCCCAAATTTTGTAAACGTTTTTTACTTATAGATGTTTCATTGTAACAGTCTACTGGGTTAAGCTATTCAGAGCCTCAGTAACCCTTTACCAGTGTAATTTGACTGAACACCAGCATCTTCTACCTACCCTGTTCCTGATCTCTTTAGTGATACCTCCTACTGTACTAATACACCCCTATCAATAGGTTCAAATTGTAACTGGGGAGAATATTGCTTTCAAGACAAACAAAATAACACAGACACCTCTGTTTTTAAGAGCCGCTGTGGTAGAATAGACAACTTGTTGGACTAGGAGCAAGGAGACCCAAGTTCTAATCCACCCTCACTCATGGAAGTTCACCAGGTGAATTTGACCCAGTCATTCTCTCAGCATAACCTCCTAATAAGGTTGTTGTTATGGGGGAAAATAGGTTTTAGATGTAAGTGCATACCAAACGAAAATATTAAAAATCTGTGGGCTGATTAGCTTCACTTAGCCCAGTCCATGTCACAGGATTCTTTAATGGAGATAAAGGGAGACCCCTGTGTAAGCTATCATGAGCTCCTGGAAGAAGGATGGATATAAATTTAATAAATAATCCACACATTAAGGCAAAGCAAAAGTTAATTAAGGAACGATGCAGGGGGAGTGAATGAAGGAGAAGGGCTAAGTAAAATCTAGCACAATTGAAATTGTAATTTCTTTACATGAAGTAACCTGTTGAAATATAAATTGTGAAAAAGAGGAAGGGTGGAGAAGGAGAGGAACTGAAAGCCAAATGAACTAATTAAAAGAGAATTAAGCAAGAATGAATCAAATAAGAACAAGAATGATGATGGTAAACTGAAAAAAATAAAATAGTGGTTTGCAAGAGAAAATGCTGTCATATGCAAAACCACCCAAAAAGAGATTGCTTATTTTATTATTTTATTTTATGAATTTATAGGGCTGCCCAAATCAAACAATGTAACTCTGGGCAGTGTACAACAGAAAAACAATAGCAAAAACAATAAATCGAAAGAACCACATAACATTAAAGCATAATGTTTTAATGGCAAACGCAATAATGAAAACAACCACTGACCATAGTACTAGTGTATGAATGAACAATATTGGTATGTTGGTGTGTATATGTAATTCTTTCCATCTCTCATGATCTTGCTTCTTCTTTCAAAAGTCTCTGATCTGATTTGAAGGATCTGCTGATTGAAAATTAGAACTCTTGATCCTGGTATCCAGTATTCCTCATCCTATCTGACCCGGACATTTCTTTTCCTTAACCAAGTGCTAGAGTTTTTTTGTTGTCGGGTTTTTTTTTAATTAAATTTGTTTTTGACCCATGGTACTGCCTAATATATTGAGCACTTAATTCTGTAACAGGTGTAGAAGTCTGCAAGTTTTTGAATCTGGAGCAGACAAGTTAAATTTAAATTTAAAAAATACTTTGAATTGTTCCATTGTATATCAATTCATGCTAGGTTCCAGCCCCAATTAATAGAACACTTTGGAAGTTCCTGATTGTGAGTTTTGTTCATACAAGGCTATGCGAGGTTACTAGTCTCCCGTCAAATTAGTTGCCGTGTATATATTGTTCACCTTGGTGATGTTGGACTCCACTTCCCATAAGCTTTTATTGCCATAGCCAGTGATTAAAAATTGGAGGGCTACTTAAAAAAAAATAATGACTTCTACATCAACCTATCCCTGCCAGACACTGTGCATTGTTGACTCTCTTTTTTTATTTCCTTTACCAAATACATCCTTTGTTCTTCCTTTTCTAAATAATCTTAACTGTCAGAAAATCTCTTCTGTTCTTGGGTGACTTCACCCATTCTCTCATATTCTGTGTTTAGAATGTGATTTCTTAGGGCATGGAATCCTGTTGGTCTGTATCAGTGTGTAGGAACAAAGTCATCAAGCAGGATTGCCAGTGAGATGTTATGGTTAGTGTTGGACCAGTACTGAGTGGATTTTGGTTCAAATTCTGAAGTTCAACCATCATGTGCACAGCATGATAATTTTCTCTCATCCTAAACTATCTCACAAGGTTATTAAGGAGGAACACGTATGCTTTTTCAACATTTCAGAGACCCTTTACCATTAAGCAAATTAACTTAGAGGAGAAGGCATGGCTGTCAGACTGAAAGCTCCATGTACCAATTATACATGGAAATAACAGACATCATTCTCTACATAAAGAAAACTTATGCCACCACATCTCTAAATAATCCTAAAGGTCTCTGGAGTGTGATGACTTGATATGATATCTCTCCACATTTTCTCTGGAGCTTCTTGCTGATGTAACCCTTATTCCAGTTCTGTACTTTGAGCCTGGAATGACAATTCCAGCTGTTCTCCCTCCCTTCTGAGCTTCCTGCAACTCTTTGGTCCTCTGGGAAAGTTTTGAATCAGCTTGGAACGGTGTCTAGCTCAAAGGAGATATCTACCCTTAGACTGTAACATTATTTTAAACATAGCCAGTAAAGAGTTACCAAAGCTTTAAAACATGAACATGTAACAACCAGATGCTGCAAAAATTTCATAATTATCTTATGCTACTTGATTGGCCATAAGGTATTTGTCTTGTATAGTCATGACTGTTTGCTTCAAGTTTCATCCACACACATACAACTTTGGGGTATGCTTCTATGTCTTATCTCGTCATTAGCTTTGCTATAAAAATAGACACTTTCATATTTTTAAGACTGAAACAGAGCAGCTGTTTACTTAGTAAATGAACTTGTCTGGACTATGTTTGTCTATTCTTATTAAAGCATGTAGTAGCTGATGCTTTGGCAGAGCTGATGTTTTTCTCCCTGATTACTTCATCTGATGTGGATGTTAGCTAATGTAGTTTCAGTCTGGGATATTTTGAAGCTTAAATGAGAGCAGAAAGCATTGTAATCTTTTATCTGTTTACAACTTAATGTAGAATGAATATTTATCCAGAATAAAATGAGCTACCCTGATAGAGAAAATTCAAAAATTACCTGGTTTTTTTAGTTACTAAACGTGCCTGTCCATTATACAGAAATTGATTTTTATCTCTTAGGTTTAGCTAACTAGGGCTTTTCTGATCTATTATGCAGCTCAATATGTAGTCGAGCTTGTAGCTGATAAGTTAGAAGTTTGAAGACATTATACAGCATTTTTCTTGATAGTAAGATGTTTTTGATTTTCATAGACTGTACTTTCAAGTAAGTGTGCACAGATGCTTGCCTGTTCCCAATGCCCTTTGTGAAGCTTGTGTAAGACTGAATGAAAATTCGAGAACCGGATTGAAAATCAAACTGCCAATATTGTAATACCATTACCTAAATCTATGGAAATGCTGCATCTGAAATATTATATCGTGTTCTGGTCATCACGTTTGGAAAGGATGACATCTTTAGTCTGGAAAAAAGGAGACTGAGGGAACGTGGGCACGAAGAAAATCTGATCAAAATCCATGCAATAAATAAAGCTGATTTGAAGGAGATTTAGGATAGGTAAAAGAAAGTACTATTTCACACAGTGCATAATAAACCTGTGAAATTAATTACCATAAGACATGGTGATATCTTCTAACTTGGATGGCTTTAAAAGGATATTGGAGAAGTTAACAGAGGATAGACCTGTCAAGGGCTATTAGTCTTGAAACCCTATATTACCAACAGGTTGGGGGGTACATGCCTCGAAAAACCAGCTATAGAGAAACAGTAGTGGGAGAAGAACATGTCTCCTGTTTGTGACCACCCCAGAAGCCAATGTGTGAAATAAAATGCTGGACTAAGATGGACTTTGGCCTGATTGAGTGGGGCTGTAGCTTTCTAATGCAAGTATAATTTCAGGATGTCTTGGAGGAACTTGGATATAGTGGCTATGTGGCAACATATAATTTGCTTCACTCAGGAACTTTCACTAAGGATTTCTTTGTGAATTCTGTTTTGTTCTGCAGAAAGGTAGTCAATAGATGACAGCTGGAAAATAGGCCAGGAACTGGAGATTTTTATTATACTGATCTGAGAACTTCTGCAGAATAACATATGGATGCCTCCATTCCTCCATTGCTAGTTTAGGGGAAAATGCTGAGCTTGAAGTCTGGCATTTTATATCCAAGTAAGAGCTACTATCTAGGAGCAGGAGGGTAAATAATCTAATGACCAATATTCCTACCCCTGTTCAGAGTAGCAAAGATCATAATAGTAGGTAGAATAATAGAAGTACTTTTAATAACTGTATTTTGCTTAGGTTTGTCTGCATTTTGATAAATGTGTTGATTCAAAATTCCTTTCATTAGCCAGGACACACCTATTGTCTTCTTCATTATCGCCCATTCCAGACAAGTTAATCTTTTTTACAGAAAGGTGTAACAGTCCTCTGGTTCAGGCATGTCTTATTTTTTGGCTTGTGTGTTCCATCTGCAGCTGAATCTTGAGAATGACCTGGAGTTTGCCTTATTCACACAACTTTTCTCAGTCTCCTTCCTTTTGCTAGTCTAGTCTGGTGTTTACTTATTGGATCCTACAGAATATCCTGTGAATAAGATAGAATAACTGCACAAGAAAAGCCTTGTAGCATCCTTTCTGCATCTCTCTCTCTCTCTAGTTTATACACATGGGACAATCTAGCTTTGCACAACAATTAAATTCTTTAAAAATAGAATATCCAGATTAATTACATCTAATAACTTAATTATGTTTCTATTACTTGTGTTCTAAGCTTGTTTTTCTTTTCAGTCCCAGGTGAATCACCATATTTCTACCAGTGAGACTTATCAAGAACGTCTGGCAAGATTAGAAGGTGATAAAGAATCTCTCATATTGCAGGTATGTAATTTACAAAACCTTCAGTTGGTTCTGCCATAATAAAGTCTTCTTCCTGGTGAGTATTTGGAGACAGCCATGGTATTTTTGAAATTTGAATTTGAAAACTCCTTCACTGTGACTGTTCTCTTGAATTCCTTGGCAGTGTCTTGGCTGTCTTTTTTTTGCTTGATGGTTTCTGACTCACATTAACATGTGCCTCTTCTTTTCATGGCTGCCAAGAACATGTGTTCAGGGCTGGGGCAATGCTAATTTCTTTTACAGGTAGTCCTTGCTTAACGACCACAATTGGGACAGGAATTTAGGTCGCTAAGCAGTGTGGTTGTTAAGTGAATCATGTGACCAGACCCGATTTTATGACCTTTTTTGCGGCACTCATTAAACAAATCACTACAGTCGTTAAGTGAATCATGTGGTTAAGTGATTCAAGTGGTTGTTAAGTAAATCACACAGTTCCCCATTGATTTTGCTTGCCAGAAGCCAGCTGAGAAGGTCACAAATGGTGATCACATGACCCCAGCACACTGCAACTTTCGTAAGCACTAGTTGCCAAGCGCCCAGATCACAATCACATGACCGCAGGGGTGCTGTGATGGTTGTAACTACAGGCACTGACTATAAGTCACTTTTTTTAGCACCATCGTAACTTCAAACAGTCACTAAACAGTCATTAAGTGAGGACTACCTGTATTATCAAATAGGAAAATAAGCCTTATTGAGCAACTACAGTATAAAGCAAACAAACATACAAACAAAAAGCTACAATTAGGGTGCAATAAGTTTTCCTTCATTTGTTTTTCCTCCTTTTCCTGGGCAGAAAGGATATACAGTGGTACCTCTAGTTACGAACTTAATCCGTTCCATGACTATGATCGCATCTCGAATTGGTCGCAACCCGAGGCAAATTTCCCCATAAGGTTCAATGTAAATACGGTTAATCCGTTCCGCCCTCTGAATTTGGTCACACCCCGA